GATTTTTAATTAAGAAAACCGATTAAGATAAGTTACGAATCGGTTAAATTATCAATTTTAAATTTTTAATAATTATTTTGAATTATTTAAATATTTCCGCGAATTTTGAGGCCTCTTTGCCATTGGGTGCGCAGAACTTTTGTTCTGTGAAAGATATGAAAAAAAGTCATCAATACTTTTTTTGCAAAATGGCATTGTGAAAAACTTTTATTGAAATTTTTTTTTATATCTTTCATATTTCGCGATATAATCGAATTGCAACTGTTTTTGCGGATTTTCTCGTGTTTCAATCATTTTCTCCATTATAAAGTACTCTTCAGCCATTTCCTTCATTTAACTGGACTGTTGGACACGCACCTCCACTCTTTCCTATCCTGAGCTAATCTTCGCATTTCCGTAAAACTAGAACATCCCACAACCCCTGTTTTCGCCTCTAGTATATCTCTAACTAGCCTTTCATGCCTGAGAAAGTGTCCTATTAACCTAGTTTATTGAATAACTACCGAAAAAACTTTTCATTTTAAACAACTAATTAAAGAAAAGTGCAGCTAGATACTCTACCACTTTGTGTAGCAACAGAGCCAATTTTAACGGAATACAGTAAGTACTTCATTATTAAAAAAAAAAAAAAAACAGATACATCATCTACCGATGAATGGAAAAACACGGAAGCTAATTACCTCGATATGTAATTAATTGCCCATAGCTCAGGGGGTTGCAATATCGGGCAAATAAACCCGCCAAAGAACTGCGGGCGTTACACCAACGCGCAGCGATACTTTGACACTCGCAATTTACTAGAAGCAGGATAGCATGGGGCAAGAACGTTATCAGTAGTTCATTGTTCAACTCGTTGTGATCGGGCATCAACAGAGGGTTGAAGCGAAGCGCACTCGCAAAAAAGGTAATAACTTGATGTTTTTCCGTAGTATCATCCATCTCATATTTGTTTTCCCCGATTTTTTTCGATAGTACCGATAAAACAATTCCAAAATAGTTAAAAATCGAAACATTTTTAATCACTAGACAATTGTTTCACCAAGTTATAACTTCTTCAAAAGATGAATTGTTAAACAGTGTTTTAATTCAATTTTAAAATGAGATTCCTTCAAACAACAAACATACATTTTTACTAAAATTTGTTGTTTACTTGGTATTTGCGAAAACGTTTAGTAATTGTTAAACAGTGTTTTAATCCTATTTTAAAATGGGATTCCTTCAAACCAAAGCAGATTAAATCATTAAAACATACATAATACCTATAATAGTTGTTACTGAAATTTGATATTCGTGAAAATGTTTACCATTGTTTTTTTTTGTTATAATAATACCTAACGTATTCAATCAATTCAAAATAATTTTTACCAATTACTTATATTTTCTCATTAATTTCGGATTATTATAGTCAATCATCATCTAAACGATACGCTGAGTCTTTATTTGATCAATTTAATAAACAAACCTATAAATGCGTAAGGAAAAAGACGACTCGAATTCCACTTCACCGTCGTCTAAGCTTTTCATTAACTTCAAACGAAATTGACAGGCTTCACGTTCTAATTTATTGGGTCCAAATTATTATCGAAAAAGTCTTTCTCAGAAGGAGCGAGCGAAATTTGTGACGATAGGGATAAAATAAACTCTTATTTTAATTTTTTCATTTGGCGCAAAAGAGGAAGACCCTTCCTTTATTTATTCATAAGTACCATTAATATTTTTTAATCTAATTTTTCATTAGATTCTGCAATCTCATTATTGAGTTTGAGAATATTCAAACGTCGACGTTATGCTATCGCGGAAAATTTTCGATAATTGCGTTCCACAACGTTATGCACAACTTAATGCATTCAAAATTTCCCAAAGCGGAAAACAATTTTCCGAGCGGGTGAACATCGGACATCAGAGACTGTTAAAACCGCAATCCATTGTTTTTCATCCAATCGAAGTACATTTACATATACATACAGGGGGTGGTTATAATTTGATGAGAACAATAACAATATGCAAATTTTCTTTCATAAGAGATGTCACAATACTTCAAAAAAAGATGATGAGATTTTGGACGCTTTTTATATGTAGTGCCTAGGATCTAATTGGGATCCGTCAAATGGGCATACACCATCTGGTGGCAAAATTTATAACTCGATTGAGGGAAAAATTTACATAGGAACTGTGCACGCAAATTGTAAAATTGTTTCTTAAAATAATAAAACACGTTAAAAAAGTAAAAATTTTTTTGATGATGGAGTCGACGAAGTTTACTTCTAAAGTTAAATCAAATAAAAAGTTAATATGTTCAGTGAAAAGCTGCAATAGCACTTCAGACATAGATCTTCACTCTTCACCTACATTAACTACTTTCCAATAAAAACTAACCGTTTTATATATGTAAAAAATATATTCGGAAAATTAGAGAAAAAAGTAAACTAATAGAAGCTTGGATGAAAGCAGTAGGTATCAAAGAAGTGAATTCCGGAATAAAAATTTGTTCACGTCATTTTAATGCACATGATTATATTTCAGCAAGTATTTACCATCAGCCATAACCTTAATATTTAAAACTAGAATCATACTAAAATTATAAAGTGAGAAATTATTTATTCCTGTGTAATTGATTTAACACAATTCTAATGATACGATATAAGTATTTTGAGGTTAAGAACCTACCTGCTGCAATACAACAAAGTTGCAATAATGTGTTTGCAACGTTCTCTTAAATCGGCTTTGCACGTGCAAGTCATTGATATGATATTGCTTAAATCACCCAGAATCACCTCACCAATTATATAACGTGAATCACTTTTTAAATCCGAAGTTTGTAAAAAGTAGGCAGTAAACTTGACGGAATTTGAAGGCTAGCTTCCGGATTTGTTATTTCCGAATTTTATAATGTGATTGGCATTAAAAACACGCTCACCTTCAACGAAATTTCCTTTCCGAGGCTTTGTGTCAGCCCAATCACATGTTGTGTTAATACTTATCATTTTATCGTAATTTAAAAACTTGGAAATTGCACGGTACACTATAGGAACTACGATAAATTTTCCCTAATCGGCGCCATGTTTTTAGGCTCCTCCCTTTGACGGATCCCAATAGGTACTACAAAATTTAATAAAGTAGGAAAACCCAACAACTAATTTTTTTTTTGAGTCGTCAATGTTCTACTTGCTGTAGAAAAAAATCAATTAAATAATTAAACCAATTAAAGCTTTCCACGGAAAGTCAGCGTCTAAACCCATCTCACAACCGAAAATGTTCATTATGTAGGTACGTTATCGATTAAAAGTATATGTCACTTTAATTTATTCCTTTTCCTTAAGCAGTTCCGATATTACACCTAAAGAAAATTTAAGGAACTTTTAATGTAATTTCTAGAGCCTTGCTAACGGTTACATTATTTTCTAATTACTTTCTGAAAACTGATTATACCGTAGCCGTAATAACGTAAACTACAATTACCATCTTGTTCAAGTAGCGAACAACTTAATTAGAATTTAAGTCTATAACAAATTTACTCTTCCTGGATATTTTCCATTATTTTAAGACCAAACAGTCACGACTTTTACTAGAATTGGTGAAGGGTCACGACATCCTCCCAAGGGCTTAAATTTAATTCAATTTATCTAGGAGCGTGATTTTTTTTTATTGTGTGAACGATCAAACAGAATTCGATGTCTCTCAAGTTACCGCACCCACATTATAAAATCGTAAAATGATTCATATGAGAATTTAGTGCGCCTTTAGTGTCCCAGTTAAAATTACAGAACTCCTTTCTTTATACGAAAGCGTTATTTTTGTTTTATTTGACTAATAAATGTATTTATTCACCAGTACCGTACCGGTGACCAAGATGATCTTCCTCGGTACTCTACCGGTGACTAAGAAGCTCTTCATCGGTACTGTAACGGTAACAAGAAGTTCTTCATTAATACTGTACCGGTGACTAAAACTCTTCATTGGTACTGTACCGGTGACTATGATCTTCATCGGTACTGTACCGGTGACAAGAAGCTCTTCGTCGATACTGTACCGGTAACTAAGATCTTCATCGATACTGTACCGGTGACAAAAACTCTTCATCGATACTGTACCGGTAACTAAGATCTTCATCGATACTGTACCGGTGACAAAAACTCTTCATCGATACTGTACCGGTGACAAAAACTCTTCATTGGTACTGTACCGGTAACTAAGCTCTTCGTCGATACTGTACCGGTAACTAAGATCTTCATCGATACTGTACCGGTGACAATAACTCTTCATCGATACTGTACCGGTGACAAAAACTCTTCGTCGGTACTGTACCGGTGACAAGAAGCTCTTCGTCGATACTGTACCGGTGACAAAACTCTTTATCGGTACTGTACCGGTGACAAAGACGCTATTCACCGGTACTCTCAAAAAGCTACTACATTAAGGCTCAGTGCTGTGGAAAGCTACTGTGAAAATTTTATATTCAAAGTCTGAATGCACTACGCTCATTAGTCTCATAAACCATGTAAGGTTATGTTCTATTGATAGCTTAAAGCATTAATCAACAATGTTTCATACTTTTGGGTACCGTGAATAGCCTCATATCCACAGGTACAGTACTGGTGAATAGTTTATTAGTCACCGGTTCGGTACCGATGAATAGCTTCTTGGTCATCGGTATGGTACCAATGAATTCGCCTATCGTCACCGGTACGGTACCTATAAATAGCCTCGTCTTTAAATAATCTCCCAAAATCAATAATGTTTCCCGTTCAATTTAACCAATCAATTAATTTTTATATTATGCATGTAGATGTTGAAACAAAAGGAGTCGAGCTGTTCCACCCCTGCTGAGACATCTTCAGTGTTGTCATTGAGTTCCGAAGATGTTTCTGTGACACCGAAGGGTTTTAGATGTTGCGTTAAAGAAACCAACCCGGCTCACGGACGGGGAAGAAGGTTTCACCTGTGCCAAATGCTGGTATTACCCTTCATTCCCATTCTGGCCCTTATCGTTCAAACAGCGTTCATCCTCAACAATATAATGATCCACAGACAAGAAGTTTTAGACGTCGAGTCACAGGTAAGTACTTCTTACCCTTTGGGACCCCTTCTTAGGTCAAATTGGATTAAACAAAATAGTTACACTCAAAGTTCCGCATAATAACGTTTAAAACAACCTAAAATCGATTAGAAATTTCTAAAATCCTTTTCTCTAGTAAATCTACAGCATGTCGCAGTCTGTCAAAACAGTTTAAAATGTCTATTAGGGAATCCGAAAGATAAAGTAGAAGCTCAAGAGAAAGCAGAAATTTACAGGGTCAAATGTAAAAATTGTGACAATCAGTATATAGGTCAGAGCCGTAGGGAAATTAACGTTAGATTTAAGGAACATTTAGCTCATTTTAGATTTAATACAATACAAAAATCTAGTGCAGCTAGGAAGCGTCGATAAACTTCTAAACGCTTCCGAAAGTGTTGAGACCCACAAAAAAATCAAGTCTAATGAAGTCAGATCAGTTTAAAATTGTTTTTTGAAACTTTTATGTGGAATTTTAAGTTTTACTGTTTTATTATCATTTATATTAATATGCGCTTTTATTAAGGTGTATTACAGCCCTTTATACAGCACTGTAAATAACAATTTGTCGATTCTTTCGGGTTGTTGCGTTATAAATATTAATTAAAAAGAACGACTTCGAACGTTTAACTTAATTTAAATGTACTGCCTTTCCAGGCGAATGCGGAATACTAAGCACTCCGGTGTTCACTTCATCCTTCCCTTAATTTACAATATTTTAGCACAGGAACTGAACGTCCCTAACATTAAAACAATTCATTTGTAAGGAATAGGCTAATTGTACTTCATTTACTACCCTTGTAGTGTGAATTTAAACAATGGGGATGACCTACTACAATGTGATATCTGGTAAACATCGTTGTATCGCATTTAAAGTAGTTTTTCATTTTGCATTTCGAACCTACTTGCTCTTTGTTTGTACCTGACTTAATGAATTGCCCTTTAGTCAACAAGATATCGCATTCCCTGCCCATTTGAATAAACATCGTAAGGGGATGTAATAATATTTATCGTTTAATTTCAAATGTAACTGAACTAATTTCCAACGTATTATTTAAGGTAACTACCGCTACCGAATTGGGCAAAGTCGTGACAAATTTACAACTAGAAAGATCGGAAGTAGCATTTTATGTCTACACAAATGGCACAGTTCTCAGGTAAAATAGTATTTTTGTTAATGCCGAATGTAAATTATGAACTTGTATTCAATTTCCCACAAAATTAATCAGAATCGATCAAAATGTTTTCAATACGCAATGCTTACTTATTCAAACATCATAAAAACACAGAAGAAAAGAATATCTCAATAATATCAATGACATTCGGGCTTGAAGGATAATCTCCTTCGGTGAGAACATTAATTTAGTGTTCATTGAAAACGTAGCGAGGGAGTAAGGTTCTGAGTCTTAGCTGTATCTTCACTGAAGAACTTTGCACCCTCTCTACGTTGCCTCAGGGTGCCAGGCTTGATGGCCATAGTTCAGGATTGTTCCTCCCTTGATGAGAACGCTGTTGCAATAGTTCATGCAACGATTCGCCTACTAATGTGACTGGTATCCCAGGGGAACGTAGTGAGGGCGTAAAGTTCTTCACAGAGGTTGCACTAAGTCTTCGTACAACTGAAACTCAGAACTATAGGCCCTTACAATGTTCCCTTAGTATGACATTAGTCGGAGAATCGTTAGGTGGACGACTCCATCGGTTTCCCGCCGAAAGAGAAAGAACAATCTTAGATAACGTTCTGCAAGCTTAACATCCTTGGGGAACGTAGCAAGGGAGTAAGGTTCTTTGCTAAGGGTGTTCTGAGCTCAGTTGTACTTAATCTCAGTCGTAATGAAACATTTATTTATCTTCCCTGAGGATGTCAGGGTTTGATGGTCATGCCCTAGGATTGCTTCTCCCTTGGTGAAAACACTAGAGTCGTTCATCCAGCTATTCACTTACTAATGTGATTGGCATCCCTGGGGAATGTGGACGAGAAGTAAAGTTCTTCACAAAGTTTGCACTAAGTCTTCGTACAGCCGAGACTCAGAACTATACTCCCTCAGGATGCCAACAACGTCAGACCGCGGCCATCAAGTTTAATATCCTCAGGGAACATAGCAAGGGCTTAAAGTTATTTGCTGAGGGTGTACCGTGCTCAGTTGTAATGAAACTCAGTGCACCTTCAGAGAATAACTCAGTACAACTGAGGCTTAGTACATTTGATAATATAATCAATACAAACTTAGAGAAAGACTTGACACCCTCCCTAACTTTTCCTAAGGATGCCAGTCTCTCTTGGAATAGTTCACCCGACAATTCGCCCACTACCGTGGTTAGCATCCCAAGGGAACGTAGTGAGGTAGTAGTTGATTACTAAGGGTGTACTAAGTCTTCTTACAGCTGAGACTTCAAACGTTCCCTTATTACTACGTTCCCTTAGTAGGGAGCGAATTGTCGGGTGAACGACTCCATCGTAGTTCTTACTAAAGGAGAAACGGTCATCAAGCTCAGCAAAGGACTTCATGCCCTTGCTATGTTCCTTGTCGATGTTGAGCTTGATGACCGAGATCTAAGATTGTTTGTCCATCAGTGAGAACTCCTATGGAATAGTTTACCCAAAAATTCGCCCACTACTGTGGTTAGCATCCTAAGGGAGCGTAGTGAGGTAGTAGTAGTCTTCGTACAGCTGAGACTTAGAACGTTCCCTTCTTACTACATTCCCTTAGGATGTCAACCACAGTAGGTCGCGAATTGTCGGGTGAGTGACTCCATCGTAGTTCTAACTGAGAAACAATCCTAGACCACGGCCATCAAGCTCAACAGTCCTTTGTTCTTCACGCCCTTGCTATGTTCCTGTGGATGCTAATCTTGATTGCCGTGGTCTATGATTGTTTCTCCTTCAGTGAGCACTCCGAGGGAGTCATTCACCCGAAAATTCGTCCACTACTGTGGTTGGCATCCTCAGGAAACGTAGTGAGGGCGCAAAGTTGTCCACTAAGAGAGTACTGGGTCTTTACATAACTCAGAACTTTACGCTTTCATTAAGTTCCCTTGGAGTACCAACCACAGTAATAAACTAATTGTCGTAGCGAGGGCTTAAAGTCCTTCAACGAGAGTATACTGAGGTTTAGTACATCCTCAACGAAGGACCCTACGTCCTCGCAAATTCTCTGAGGATGTCAACCTATGTAGTGTCAATTTCATTTAAATAAATTGTTGTTTTCTTAGCTCCAATTTGTCGCAGAGATTTGAAGCAACAGATAGAGCTTTAGAAAACATGAACAGTTGGCCTACGGTGGTTCTACCCCAAGCGGGAGGCGATTACCAACAATTAAATAAAAGCCTATTTCAAGACAGGCTGGACGATTTTAGGTAGGTCAACAAATACGTCTTTATCATTCAAGGACGTAAATAAGTTGGATTTATTTTTAAAGAAAAAGAATTAGCCAAGAAGAGAGCAGCGTTTCCGAAGTTCTTCTGTGGTATACAGCTGTTAATGCAGTTCTTTTAGAACACCTTACCAACCAAATAAAAGAAACAGATAACAGTGGAGTTTGGAGGTTTGTTTTTTATTAAATAATATTCCATGATTCTCTCCATTTACCCATGTATACAATAAGGCGATAAGTATTTGACTACTTAATAACTACGATTACGCAACTTATGCTGTTTTGTGCAAAGTCAAAATGAACAGACCTTGTACAATAAAAACTTTCTGTGGCAAATGAGGGGTAGAATTAGGGTTACCACCTTTTCAAACCTTACATATAAAGTATTTCTCGACTAAATGGTTCAAAAAAAAGTACTCAGCATAAAAATAAAGTATTTTATTTTTTGTTTTTAAAAACATATTTTTTGTTACACCTAGCAGCCAGTAACAAATTGCTGTCGTTCTTAAATACATTAATAGCCTCTAAACATGGCAAACAAAGATTTAAGTAAACTAAAAGTCCATTTTTAATTAGTTGTAATGAAGTTTTATTCCTGTCGTCCCCCCACTTTGTGTTCATAACAAAGAATACTCTTTCTGTAAATGCTGAAGTAGCCGGAACGGACAGCAAAAGTGACACTACTTTCAAAAGATTCGGGAAATCAGGTTGTTCCGTAAATATGGCTTGCCATTTTTCTGTGCAATATTATTGATGTAAAAATACTCTGAATTTCGAATAATACAGCGAAAACCACTTAAATATGTGTCTATGGTGATTACATATAATAATCTACACAATTTAAAGCAAGAAATGCAAGAACAAGGTATTCTAAACTCCCATTTACTAATAAAATTAGTAACAAAATGTATAAAATCAAATATTAATTCACTATCAATGGCAATTCTTACCATGCCGAATAATTCTGTTGTTGGCATAGTTTCTTAAGAATCATAATGATCATGCACCAACTGATTAGTTTAAACACTCTTAACAGTAATAAGTGATGATCCAAAATCACGATTAATCACTTTCAATATTATTAATTGCAGTAATTAATAAATAAATCATCACAAAACTCCTATCTCATTTTACTGTTTTGTGAGAACTCAAAACGAACGAACCTTGTATAATCGACATTGCTTATAAAGAAAACCAGAATTTAAAACACCATCGATAATAGTAAGAAATTTACCCCAAAACAATTTAAAATCCTAATACCAAAGCTTTCATAAATACAAACAAATAGGATATTTATACCTATCTGATGATTGTTGCTATTGCATGAAGAGAAACCATTGAAAACTACCTTCCAAAATACGATCATTACATTATTACATATAAATCTTAACCTGTACACTTTTGAACCCAAAATATAAGTACAGCAAAACCTTCTCATATTTCATTTAGTAATATCAATAAAAAATACACAAAATCAGATATCTACTTACCAACCACCACTGCTAATATTTATTAAGTAGATACGAATAATTACTAAAACATATCCTGTCATGCTTCATAACTTCCTCATTACGATAACTTTTCTGTAAAAAATACGATAATAAACATTAAATCACTATCAATAATACCACTGTTTTGTGAGAACTCAAAATGAACCAACCTTGTATAATTAAGATTGTTTGTACAAAACAATGCAATATCTAAACACCTAGGTACCCAAGTTTTCATATATTTAAATAAATAAGATATCCGTCTAGTTACAATAACAAGAAGAAAAATATACAAGAACTGCCAAAATATGACCATTACATCATTACATATCAATCATAACCTATACACTTCAGACCACAAAATACATACACTACAATCCTTCCGAAGTCTAATTAAATGAGTTAAATCAAAATCAACTTACATTTTTAATCATCATATCAACTTTTAATATCAACAAGTAGGTACAAGGCATCTTGCCATGCCGCATAACCTCGTTCTTACAATAGTATCTAAAGACATCGTCGCACACGAAAATCGAATAGTCTAAATACTTTCAACATTAATTCACTAATTAAGAATACGCTTATTAGTTTCAATAGTATTGATTTCAATAATTGATAATTGATCATGAAATAGTCTTAATTAAGCACTACACACAAGATACTCAGCCGTCCGATATATGATGATGTTGCACAATGTTAACAGGAAATCAGTATTGCACTTGCGCACTACTAACTTCCACCTCCACTCATCACGCGGCAGATTTGAATACATATGCATTTCTTTAGTTAAATAAATTTTGATTAACAGTGAAGTATTCAACTTTTTGGGGCATTTATATAACTTTATCAATTATTTTACATTATAATACCTAACATGAATTAGGAGAACTGTAATTTAATGTCTAAAAGTTTGTTAATACACATGCATATAAAAAACGTTTAATTAATCTAGATTTTGACTCTTTTGATTTGTGCAGATTTTTATTAGCATTTAAGAGTCTTCTTCGGAGTATAGAAAGCATGGGAATAGCGAGCGTTTATGGGGTCAATTATTTTGGTAGAGGTTTTTTGCATGGAAGCAGTTATATCAGTTATGTACGACATGATGCTATAGCTAAAGATTTACTAAATGGTTCATTAACGTACGTTCCTTACCTTAAAAATGTCTACAAAAAGCTTACAAATGCTATGAAAAATTATGGAACTATAAAACACAAGTAAGTTATTAGTCAGTTACTTAATATTAAAACAGTCACTGCTGCCGCCACCTATCACACAGGGCATTAGTTTTTATCTATGTGTGAATCTTGTTAGATGGCGGTGCGCGATTAATGAGGGGGCAAAATTTGAATTTCAAACTTTTAGATGCGATATAATAATAAGAAATGAAAGACGAAAGCCTAATATAACAGAAGCTATAGATTATTTCGATTCAATAGCTTCATATACCGACGAACTACGGAATCTTCAAAAAGAACTGCGTCATGTGATACGGTAAATATTTTTTTTTGCATAAAATCTTCCAACTATGGAAAGAAACTTTTTTAAGGGATTACGTAAATGAAGATTTGCGAATTGCCGCTAATAACGAGGCTCTTGGGATAGCAATATTAGTAGTAGTATTAGCTGTTTCCCCAGTTATAATATGGCTTGTAAGAAATGCTGTTGCTACAATACAGGTACGTAGTAATGTGGTAAAGCTTTTTTATAGACTTGGAGCAATAAAATTAATAATTAACTAACTTTTCCAATCCTGAAGATAAGATGCTTGTGTTTTTATTTCGGCTTATAAAAGAAAAGCAACATTGTTATCTTAAGATATTAACAACAGAGGACCTTTTCAGCTTTATGCAGCAAACTTGGCCACAAAGGCGAAAGAATTGAAGAGAGAAAAGAAAAAAAGCGATTCCTTATTGTTTCAGATGCTACCTCCGAGCGTAGCTACACAATTAAAACAAACACGACAGGTCCGTATTAGGTTTTTCCTTTAGAAATATTAAAACTTACAAGCCTTGAAAAACACTAAATATTAAACATGTAATTGTAAAATAGCATTAACTATGAATAATTCTATCATAAAAAGCTATTTAATTATATAAAAAGATATTAAAACAAGTCGCACACACAAGCACCATATTATTACTATTATTTTTTCCTTAATACTAGGTATTTTTTATAAAAAAATTTAGGTTCCAGCTGAATTTTATGCTTCGGTTACTGTGTACTTTAGCGATATTGTGGGATTTACCGAAATTGCCGCAGTTAGTACGCCCCTGGAGGTGAGTTAATAAATAAATCACAATTTTTTACATTAAAATTTATTTTTTTTATAACTTAAATTATACGTCATTATTTTTTTTCGTAGGTGGTTACATTTCTAAATAAAATCTATAAACTTTTCGACGCAAGAATTGAATGTTATGATGTTTATAAAGTTGAAACCATAGGCGACTCGTACATGGTAGCATCGGGGCTTCCCGTTAAAAATGGTAAGATTATTTCATTGATTATTTGCCTTTGTTCACCCAACTTTTTTGTTTATGACATTGTAATTCGCTCAATTATGATACACCAAAGGAAAAAGTAAGAAGAAACTTAAATAAAGCAAAGACAATTTTTTCATATTTATTAAATCTTAATATTCAAATAACAATTACGTACTCAAGGCCGTACCCAAGAAGGATATGAAAGTTGAAGTCCCCTCCAAAACTATTGTTATTCACGTAAAATCAAACGATTTCTTGATACAATTACCCTCCCCACTCGAAAAAATACCCTGACTACGGCCCTGCATGTACTAAACAGAAATTAATAAGGATAAACAATACACTATTTTATTGGTTGATTTTTCTCTCACGTCTACGGTAATCCTTAGGTTTCCACTGGGAATCACGGGGGGTAAAGGGTATGCCCCCAAATTAATGGCATAATTTTTTAATCTCCATGTGCCCTAGTAATAAATACCAATAGAAGAAAAAGTAAATGATAAAACACAAATAAAATAATTTTTAACGTACAATTACACTTTTATAACTCCTCCCCCCAGCATTTTTATTACACTTTAATTCTGGAGGGTTCAGTTTTTAAGCCCTAAATTATTAATCGAAACAGCATTAGTACGTGCTACTGAATAGGGGCCCTCCATGCATTACGTCATGCAAAAACGGGGGGAGGTCATGGGGGGGGGGGTAGCTTAACGAATTGTGACAATGGGGGGAGGAGTGGCTTCAGAGTAACATGACGTTTCCGTTGGCTTAATAAAATAATCAACCACTAATAAAAACATTGAAATGTCAGTATGACGTGATAACCGGTTGGGAGGGGGGTGTAAGACTTGTGAGGCGAAGCATGGAGTAGGGGGGGAGGGGCCAAAATAATGGGGAAATCTGCGTGACGTAATATATGAAAGCCTTTATTTTGACATTGCCTTGTCTCTCCTATTGTCGAACCTGGACTACCAAGGCCCCAGGTCCCTTTTCTTTGTACTCACTTTTGGAAATGGGCAACTTCCAGGATTAGGCATTCTTAAAGCTGTTTCTAATTCAATCGTCTCTTTCTTAACATATTTATTCAACACTTTACATAAACCAGATTCATCGACACCCCCTAGAATTTTCTGAAATTGTCCAGGTTTTGTTTCTCTTTCCAACTCCCATTTTAGCTGGAACAGATTGCATTAATGAACCTTTTGACTGATCAATTAATTAGAAAAGTATTATTTCTTACCACTGTATTATCGTCAACGAAAACGGACGGATTTTTTATTAGTAAATTAAAAGTCACAGTTCCATTAGGAAAACGACGCGCTATAGTCGATTCCACAACAACCAAAGGCTTCACCTCCTCATGACAATGGGCAATTTTTTTAATTGTAATGCTTCTTTCACAACACACATTCTATAAAAATATGTACCTAATCCAAAGGCATAAGTAAATAAATATTTTTAATGAACTTACTGTGAATAAAATTGCGAACAAAACAATATAATAGTTCATCTTTTGGTGGTTGTTCGTATAGCAATGGTCTAAATTTTTTAAACAAAATGGTATGAATAAAAGCCGTTTTTATTTCTGGTTGTTTGTTGTTAAATTGTGCGAAAAGATGGCTGCTATCGATAACAACATTGTAAAGAGGACAGCAATTAATGTTAAATAAAAAAAAAATATGATAGAAGATAATACTATTATTGGTCACAGGCATAAATTACTTTTTTGTTCGATAAAAATTTAGTGCAGTTATCAAAAGATCATCCTGCACATGACAATGTATCACGTAGAAGAACAGGACCGGATCCACTTGCAAATAAAATATTACTAACGGTAAAAAAAGATTGATGGAGAATCCTTGTAGGGCATAAACATGTTTCGGAGATAGCAAGCATGGCCCTTGACCTTCTGGCTGGTTCGACTCAGTTTAAAATTCCCCATAGGAAATCAGAAAAACTTCAAATAAGATCGGGGGCGCACACTGGTCCTGTAGTTGCTGGTATAGTGGGCTCCAAAATGCCCAGATATTGTCTTTTCGGTGACACGGTCAACACTGCTTCCAGAATGGAATCAACTGGTGAAGGTAACAAAATTATTATTGGCCACCTATAGATTTCTGATTTCATATTATATTACGTTATTTAATCGTAATGAATTGGCAGTCTACAAAGGGAAGTTCAATTCGTAGCTAAGAATCATTTAAGGATTCATCTACAGTTTAATATAGTTCACTAGTGGTTTCATCTACATTTCGTTTGAGTTCATTAGTTTTCGTAATCGTCTGACGTCAGAAATGGCGCGGGTTTTTCAAAAATAATAAAGAATAGCCAAAAAAGTAAATTATTGCTTTTTTAATTTTATTAAGATTAAATCATCTAAAAAAAGTTTCAGGTATTTAAAATTATATTTTTACATATTTTATTACAGCATTAAAAATTCATATTAGTTCTGAAATGAAAAAGGCTTTGGACGCAATAGGGGGTTACAAAACGGAGCACAGGGGACTCGTGGAAGTAAAAGTGAGTGATGTTTAATAAATAAAAGATTTATCGTTGCATAATTTCGTCATCAGTTGAAATTATAGATGGAAATGCTATGCGTGGGAAGATTTACTCCTAATTATAGGTTAATTCTTTTTTAAGGGTAAGGGGCTTCTAGACACTTACTGGTTGACCCAGAAGGAGGGTGGTTTAAACAGGATAGTCGAAATGGAAGCACCAACATACATGCAGGTATAAAATAATTCTAAAGAATAGTTAAATATTTAAAAATTAATTCCTAAACTAGTATCCGAAAGACAAAAGGGTAAACTATAAACATTTGCAATTTGCAATTTCGTGTTCATGCAATCATTTAATTTACTAAAGATTTACAGCCATGAATTAAACTTATTATTATATACTAAAAATACCAATAGGATGAAGATGGAGAACCTGTTTTTATGAGAAGAATTAGAGAAGAATATGTACTCTGAATAATAATCACCCTGTATTAATTAGAACTTTTTTATCTTAATGCTTAACTGTCTATAAATTGTAATTTCTAAGTGGTAAATGTACATTAAATTTGATATTTATACTTAACAACATTTTAATTATGTTAATGTTACACATTAAATTAGATATACGATTCATTAGGGTATTAGTAATATAATTAATTGTTTATAAATCTTTCATTTATATGTGTACCTATATAAATCTATGTGTAAAGAGAACAAAAATAAAGTTAAAACTATTATTAAAAACAATTCCATAAAAGTTTTTTTTGGTAAAACAGTATTTAGTTATGAATTACAAATTTTTGATTAATTTTTATTGTAAACTACCGTTTAAATTTTGAAGCCATCCATGAAAATAAACAAACATAATT